TTCAAGTGCGTGCTCATATTAGTAAAGCGACAGTTGTAGCAACGTCTGCGCATGGTGGTTCTCTAAGCACCAACACTGGCCTCAGTCCACTCCTCGTGAAGCGCTCTCAAGTTCCTGAGATTCCTCTCGGGGCTGTGGTTTTCCCTTTTCCTAACACAGTTTTCCCTTCCTTTCAATATCCTGTGAATATGCTTCAGCACAGCTCTCTGAGAACAGTCTGACAGAGTGTTAGGGCCACATTTAGAAATTTCTCGTTTTGAGAATAAAGCCTTTTCATTTTATACAAATACACTCTCCCAGGTTTATGTGCTTTTTCCGTCTGATCAGATGCAGCTTTCTGCACCATCTTTTCAGCATCCCTATACTTATCACAACAGAAATCATTTCCTTCCTTGTTACTAAGAGTGATTCTGAAATACGATTTCACAAACTCTGAGAGTATAGCAGCCGTGGCACTTTTGTCTTGAAACAACAACCGTTTCCTCCACATTTTGACTTTATTCTCTAAATCAATTCTATTTGTTTTCTTAATGTGTATCTTAATGTGTTTTCTTAATCTTAATTCTTCCTAATACTCATTTTGTAGAATAGTCATAAGCCAAAATGAAGACAAAAGTATTATATAACATTTATGTAACATGTTCCGAACAAAGGAAATATATGAAAATTGTTTTTTCCTGATTTTTTTATTTATTTATTTATTGAGATGCATTAGTATTTCTATGAACAAAGCGCCAACTCTCACTTCACTTTGTTTCATAAGACTGAAAAGTCAGCTCTTGCGAAGGTGAAGCAATATTCCATTGCTTCAGTATTTCTTGTTAAGCACCAATGCGATCTCTTCCCTTTCGCCCCCGTACCTGGGTGCGCGTGGTGCCTTAAGAAGTTATAGTAAAGGAAACAATGTATATGTTTGTGGTATAGGCAAAGGCAGAACCGTGCGATCTCTCGCCTGTGACGTTTGTGGTGAGGTTATTTACCACTATGATGCGTGTGGATGTCATGGTGAACTTTTACTGATTTCTTCAAACTGTTCTTTTTTTCAGGCTGGAAACAGAATACATTCTTGAAAAGCAACAACTGGTCACACAAGTTTGAATTTTTTTGGTTTTCCTCTAATGCACACGGGCTCAACAGCGTACATTGAAGCTTAAATATACCACGTTTTAAATTAACAAGGCCTGTTAACCACTTGAGAGTGATCAGTGGTCGTTATTGACTAGAACGAGCATATTCTTTTTGACAGTATACTTTTACACATAAAGACGACCCCTGTATGCTTAATGACGAGTTTTGATGCCTCAGTATATATCTATAAAGATGTGGTTTCTGGGTTTTCCCGAGGGTAGCTGCATAGAGACCACCCTCGCCAACTTTGTATGGAAACTCAGTCATCTTGTTCTATGACAATGTCTGAGACGTGGCACAAACAGCTCAGTAGGGTTACTTCTTTTTCTTCAGCTTTCCAGAGTTAAAGAGTTGAAAGATTTGTCTGACAGCACTCAGACCAATAGAAAAGTCCAAGAAACACAGTGATCCATTTTTAGCGTCACATATTTGTAATATCAGCTCAAATCTTGACGGATGTTCATGTGTCATAATATGTTTACAGACACACTCCTGGACTTTGCGTTAAATAATGTGACAGATATTTGAGGTCATGTCAGATCTGATAACACAGAAATCAGCACAACCAGAAGTGTATTTGTTTGTGGTTGCATGGATTGAGAATTAGCAGATGTTATTGTTTTCACTCAGTCAGCTTAAAAGTCCCCTCAGACAGGACTTTAAAAGCACTGTCGGGTGATATACAGTGCACATTTCAGTCCACTGTTCAGGTGGGAAACCTTCAGTCCTGGGATTCACACTGATGTCACTTTGACATCTAGCACCAAATAGACATTGTTCATTCAGCCAGAATATAAAGAAATTACGGTGACTGCAGACTTTTTAGCACTGCAGGAATGGGTGCCTGCCTATCACTGCCTGCATGTGGAGACATAGCTGAAGGAAAATACTTGCGTAACTTTCCAA